AAGACCAGGGTCTTTCCCTGAAAAAAAAAAACAAAAAACCTACAGTTTGGGTCAACACGGATGTTGTTCCAACTTCACCGAGTGAGCATGAATGACGGGGCTACAGTGGGGTTTACTACTGCTGCTGGCCCTTGGCCTGAAGAGTACCCATAGAAAGCCAATCTGGCCCAGAGAAAAGCTAGACATGGGGTGTAAGTCAAACTGGGAGAGGGATAACTTGATTTGGGTTAGACTTTGTAGGAGTTGTCGGTCTCCCTCCCTTCCTCCTTCCTTTCCCTTCCTCCCTTCCTTCCTCCCTCCCTCCTTTCCTTCCCTTTCCTTCCCTCCCTCCCTCCCTCTCTCCCTTCCTTCCTTCCTTCCTTTCTTCCAAACAACGGGTTTTTTTTCTATGTATCCCAGACTGACCTCGAACTCAAGTCCTCCTAGGGTTGACTTGCAGAGTAAAACAGAGACAGAGAAAAAGGGGCCCCTGGGCACGTGCTCTGGTGCCAGGGATGCAGATCGCGGACATGGTGGCAGCTAAACGTGCAAGTGACAATGGAAACTCTGTGTTCCGGTTTAAGCCTGGGGACTTTCTCCAACTGAGCCTTGGTTCCAGGAAAACTAGCCTGAGCTTTTCTCTTTCTCTCATCAGAAAGCCCAGGGAGCTTCCTCTCTAGTGGGAACAACCGGATTTTTTCAGAATTCACCACAAGGTGGCACCAGACACCTGTAGACGCGATGAAGTCGATTCCCTCCCGGTGGGAGGTGGAATTGGGCCACCCGATCAGGTCAGGCCAGATTCAAAGGAAGGAGATCTGCATCCCCAGAAAAGTCACACTGGCCAAAGAAGGAAATAGACCCACGGAAAACAAGACGCCTATGTTAAAGAGATAGGGGGGAGTATCACAGAAGCGAGATATCATCTGCATTGCAACTCCTCAGTAAAACGGAAAGTTTCGCAAGACAGTAACGTGTGGAAACAATCATGGAGAACCCAGAGAGACAATTACCGGCCTGCAGGCGGGCGCAGGTGGTGTCTGGAGACAGAGACTGGTGGCGGAGAAATCGGCCTGTGACTGACCTCTTGGCATCTGAGGGCATTTTCCAAATATAAAACAAGTGTGCCAATAAGCCCAACGCAAATGACTACTGTAAGCAAGGACACAGTAAGGAAGCCGCCAAAATGGCCCTTCCACGGTTAGAGGGAAAGTTTTTATTGTGAATAAGAGAGAGAAAGAACATCCAGAGGCACCTGGAAGAGTCCAGAGCAGAGGGAGAAAGAAGCAGATTGGACATGGCCAGGACTATTGGGAGCAGAGAGAAGGGTGTGTGTGTGTGTGTGTGTGTGTGTGTGTGTGTGTGTGTGTGTGTGTGTG